AAAGCAGGGGATGCTTTAGGGCGGGGCTACTGTGATTGACAGGTCTCACCAGAGACGAATACTGATGAAATATTTAAGCTTTATCACAGGTGAAGTTTACATTTGTGTGGGCAATAAGACACACAGTAGTGAGATTTATGCCTCATCAAAAGTATTTTAGTTAGTTTAGGTTTTATAGGGCTTTTTTTCTTATACATAAAATATCACAATTTTATTCTCCACTTTCCAGAGAACACAAAGATGTGGGACGTTTGTGAAGACAGTTTTGAACACGAACAGAAATCTTGCTGAAACACAGGAACTATTAAAGTCCAGAGGTTTATAAATGAATACAGATGAATCTCATCTATCGTTGAGGTGCACACGCAAATTTAAAGAGACTAAAGACACTAGAGAGGGAATATAACGAAAGGACTCAGCAGAGATGACATTAAATGAGAAAAGTTGATCTACAGGAGAATACATATTTGAAATGAATACAGCATGCTTATGAGCTTTACTGCATTGTGTTCCATAATATTTTTATATTTTGTCACATAGCGAAAAAACAAAGACTTTTCCTCCATAAATTGATGCAGAAAAATTCACCAGAATGCAGGAAATAAAGTGATTGACGGCAAAAATGTTCAATGCTGAAACCAAACCTACGCCCGTGGTCCCTTTACCGCCGTACAAATATTAAAATGGATGTGAGCCATAAACGGTGTGATGGTGAGCCACAGGACGTTTGTTAAAAAGCCAAATTATTCTAGTTTTTTCTTTACAGCCTTATCTTATATATTATATCATATTATTATTATTATCCCATCACCACTGTTTCCAGCTGCTGTGTTGTGACTTTATCCTCTTGGATGCAGTGCACATGTTTGACACTAGGTGGCCCCGTCGTACCGTCTGTCCAGAGACGTCCTCCACTCCCAGCCCTCCTCAGACTGGAGCCTGAATGGCAACACGCCTTTTTGCACATTTCAACCGCAAAATTCCCTGTTATTTTATTTTAGTCTAACTATGTAGTTCTTGAAGTGGTAACACAGAGAGTCTCTTCACTCTGTAACACGCGTGTCTATATTTAGTCCATTGTTAAATGAAGTCCGTCCCTGATCTCTCGGGTGAGGACACGTCTCCCTTCTTGATCAGCCGCGCGCTGACATTTCTGCAGCAGTTAGCAATACGCCAGAAGAGACCCGCCGCCTTCTGATAATACGCTGCTCGTGATGACTCGCTATCACTTGGCACTTGGTGTAATATCCCACTCATTCTCTCTCCCTTGCCTGAGGAGTTCAGTTTTTTTTTTACATCTCATTTTTCTTGTCGAGACGCCAAAGATTTTCTGTCAAATTTAGTCTGAACGCATCGCAATCTAGTGAGATGAAGAGATGAATTCCCGATAGGAAGCTGGAATAATTGCAGAAGTCCAAAACACATTTTTATCATATTATTGAGAATAAATGTCATTATTCTAATAAGTCATCCTGATACCTCCCTGAATAAGAAATGAGTTTTGAAATAGCTATGGAAATGAGTCAAACGACAGAATAATATTACACATTGTCAAAGTTGTTTGGCTGCTCATCACAGGAACAATAGCTGCTTGTGCTGCAGCGCATAATGCCGTCTGTCTATTTAAAACGGTGGAGATGAAGAAGCCTTTGGAGATATTCCGGACGAGCGAACACAACAGTGAATCATAATTAATCCAGTGTGGGTGAAATTATGTGGAAAACTGTTTGTCTGTCTGCAACAGTTTAATAACCGACAATCGGATGCTTGATGTCCTGTGTGGATTCCCCCCCCCAAACAACTGTCCACTTGTGAGCGATAAACCACAGAAGCAGAAGCTGATATTTATCTACACATGGACATATTTACTGTACTTTCACAAACAGTACACACGTCTTTGACAGTGACAATCTAATCATTTCTAACTGTGTGTGTGTGTGTGCGCAGATTGCATAGTGAGCTACCGTAACGGGGACTATTTGCCGGAGGTGGACTCGGAGCTACAGAATATAAACGTACACAGTTACTCATGAACCGTAAAAAAACAAACAAACCCTCTCAAGTTCAAAGGGTTCCTATTGAGCTATTAAACTATCAATATTAGATATCACAACTCCGGTCAATATTTGATGAGGTCTTCTTCTTTTTTTTAAACAACGCAGCTTTCAGGGCTTCAGAATCAATATTTAAAAAAAGTTAATTTTTCATAGCTTTGAAAGCCCAAGTGCATTATTATTACTAATACAAGAGCAGTGTGAGAAGTGACAGATTCCATATGCGCTTTATAAACATAGTGGAGGTGAAAACTATACGCTGTGCACTGATTTCCAGCCTCTTAGGGTCTTCAGGGGGAGCAGGAGGATCACGGCGTGTTCTTTAAAATCCAACTTTTATTCTCTTGCGGTCTAGAAATCCCATCTCTGCTGTTCGTTGTCTTTGTCCTCCTTTTGTTCATGAGTCTCACGGAGTGCCACCTCCCTCTCCCTCTCCCTCTCTCGGATGATCTCCACCAGCCTCTGGAACTTCTGGTTTAACTCCTCCATCCCTCCCACCGCCCTCCCGTCGTCCTTCTCCCCGTCACTCTCCAGCGAGCTCAGCGACTCGGCCCTCGAGTCGCGGCCCTCAAACTCGTAAGTCTGCAGCGAGTCATAGGGCGGCTGCGACAGGTCAAAGGTGACCTGGTCCAGGCGGATGTTCAGGAGGTCTTCCATGCGGAGGGGCTGCATGCTGGCGGGTTCTGCCCTGGCGGGCTCCGCCCCGCACGCCGCCCAGCCTCGGCTGTCGCCAAACATCCCCCCCGGTAAGGGCTGAGGCTGCGGGGTCAAGTCCGTTCTCTGGAGGCCGCACATGCTCAGTAGCTGCACTCCCGCCGGGTACGAGCCGCCGCCGCCGCTCGCCCCGTTCACACACGTCCCTCTGCTGTTTGGGTTCAGCGAGCCCACAATGCTGTACGTGTCTCCCTTCAGGTAAGCAGCAGGGTTCACAGAGAGGATTTCACTGCTGTTTGAGTCGTTTCTCTCCGAAACGGAGGGAATGGAGGAATCGGTGTCAACGTCGTCCAACGTGCAGCTGGTGGCTCCGGTGCTGGTCTGAGTCTGCGATGACCCCGGCCGCCCCTCTTGCTGGTTTGACGAGGAGCTGTTGTGACTCCGGCATGAAGACTCGTTTGGGTCGCAGCTGGTGAGATTGGCAGCGTTGGTGGTTTGTGTCGACTCTGTCGTTTCTGTTGGGTTTATCTGAGAGAAGAAGAAGGGCGATATTAGACGATTCACGCGCCCACGCAGGGATGAGAGTATGGAAGCAGAAAAACGCCAAATATCAATATCAAGTTTGAATGAGATGATTCCAAGTCTAGAACTTGCTTTACAAATATACGTATATATTTATTTTCATCATCATCGTGTGAGCGACAGCACTGAACCTGATTGGACGGAGATCAGATTAACTTCACTTTGACTCCTTTTTATAAAACGAATGTTGAATATTTCATCTTGATGATTTTTCTTTTCATTTTTAGTAAAAATATAATTAAATGAAGAGACTGCAGTAATGGAGATACAAAACATACGGGCTGAATTTGAATCCGAGAACTATTTAAAAGGTATTTCAAATAAATTGTACACAGAGCCACACATATGAAAACATTTCTTAATTACTGTTCAACAGATTTCTGATATAATCAATATAGAATCTGAACAAATTCACAGCATGAGTCAATTTTGGTGTCTGAATTATTAAAAATTGATTTTGAGAAACCAGATTATTTGACATGACTTAAATGTTTAGATTTAAAAAAAATACAGCTTTTTGAATATTAGAAACTTTAAGTGAATTTTTGAAAACGGTAATAAAAGCCACATAAATTAAGGCAAATGGCTTTCGAAAGTATAACATATAAACATTTTGACAACAAAGGGCCCTGAAAACCTTTTTTCCTGCTTCTGGTTCTTTAACATGACAGTTCGAGCTCCTCCCACTGGGTTGAGGTGGGCGGTACTAAAACAAAATGTGATGTTCCTTCTTCCTTGCACCAATCCGGATGCAGCAACATCTGAATCAGAATCTGGTGACAGTTAGCGGGAGAATGTCCACTTCCTGATGAATCACACTGTTGCATATCTAGTCCTGAAAATGTTATTGGGAAACTTTATTATTCACTTTATAACACGACTAAAGTCCTTTTGGCGTTTCTTTGCTTCCATACGGCGGCTACATCTTTGTTATCTGTCAGTAGCAGCACTGTTATCTGACCTTTGCCTGATCCTGAATCTCTTGTGTGTCGGCAGCTTCAGCGCCTTCCTTTCTGTCCGTCACTTTGCTCTTCGGCAGCATGTGCTCTGCCGCGTAACTAGCGGGGCTCGTCTCCGGAGAGTGCCGCAGAGGCTCAAAGGTGCTCTGGTTCTGGATGACGAGGGAATTGCCGACGTGACCTCCGGCGGGCCCGCGGGTCAGCTGAGTCAGCTGCAGACCGGCCTCCAGCGGCCCGACGGGATAATAATCCCTGAGAACGGGCAGCGTGTGGATGCCGTAGCAGAGGCGCCCGTACATCGGAGCGGAGCCCGGCCTCTGCTGAGGGTCCAGACCCGGGCGCAGGTTGCGGTTCCAGCTGTACGTCCTGGCCCTCGGCGGATTCGGCTGGGTGTACCATCTGTGCCAAGAGATAAATGTCAGAGAAGCACACAGTCACGCACAGACATGCACACGCTCCCCCATAAGGATCTTTTATTTTTGGGGGCGGCAGCTCACATGTTCCTGTTGTTGTGCATGTGCTGTATTCGGTGCATGCTCTGCAGCGCCGTGATGTCAAAAGCTGCGGTGTCCGCTTCCCCTCCCCCCTCGTCGTCGTAGGAAATGATGTTCTCCCTGACATCATCCTCCTCGAAGGGTGAGTGGGAGTCCTGCTTCTGATGGCGCAATGACAGCGAGAGTGCACACACCACTAAAGGGCAAAAGAGAGACACATGACCACCACGCTCTTCCAACGTCGCAGAGGCGACCTGACACAACGGCTCAAAGTCACAAACGAACGTATTTGAGGCGCTTCAGAGACTTTTTTCCCCAAACCAAACCTACCGAGCAGAGTGGTGACACAAGCCAGCATGGCCAGCAGTGTGACCAAACTGAATATGAGAGACGGGGATGCAGAAGACAGGGGCAGACAGACCATTTGTCTCTCCCACTTCCTGTCCCTCTGCTTCCCCCTGTCCTCGGTCTGCATGCCCCCGCGCAGACAGGGGCAAATGGTCACGGTCACCGTGCCCGTGTTGGTCAGACCCGAGGCCCCGTCGCGCAGCACCACCGGCACGTAGAGGGCGAGCGAGGACGAGGAGAAGCCGGGGAGGGGCTCCAAGGCCGACTGGAGCACCAGGCTGGCTGTCTCACCTGATAACGTGGTCGGAGAAAAAAAGAGAGAGAGAGAGAGAGAGAGAGAGAGAGAGAGAGAGAGACAGGAATCAATCACGGTCGCTGCACAACAAGCACGCACATGGTTGGTGTCATGATTCTGGATTTTGTGCAGGAAATAGAGAGAGTTTGAGCTAATTGGTGCGACCTCCGGTTTCCCTGATGGTGAGGTTGAGGACAGAGCTGGACTCTGGGGGGATGCTGAAGTGGATCGGGGTGTCCTGCCCTCCTTGGTCCTTGTCGATGGCTCGCAGAACCTGGACCACCTGTGTGACACGGATCAGGAAGCTCTGTTTTAATGGTAAAGATAAATCTGACTCAAAGACGACAGAGAAGAAGAAAAAAAACATAATGCATTATTTTTCTCTCAGTCAAAATGTTGATCAAATGAAAGAACACATGAAAATTACTTTGGTGCAACATGTGACGCTTTAATTTGAGGGGTCATTCCTCCGCGGGTCATTTTGGACTTGGCGGTGTTACAAGTCTTCTTCACTCACGCTCTACGCTCTACGGTCTACGGTACGGAGTTTGAATCTCAGGGCCACTGATCAAACTACACTATTTGAAGTATTGGTGTGAGAATGTGTTGACATCATAGACTCTATATAAGTGGACGTCTCTCGTTGGTTTGTGGATGTTTTGAAGTCTCGAGTTCGTAATTTTGGCCGTCGCCATCTTGTTGTTTGTTGCAACCAGTGAACAGGAAGTGACCATATCTGGACTGAGGAGGAGT